ATACTGTTGACGCACGATGGGAATTTTTCTGTGTACAGACCTACACAACTACTGGACAAATGACAACGAAATAATTTAATAACACCATTAAAACTGTCCGCCAATGCCTGCAGAGCGCATCGCTGACCCAAAACGATGATTATTATTGYCCATCCGATCATCGAAAGTAAATTGATTCTAGGTGACGAAAACGCCATAGTTGGTAGTAAATTGCTGTTATTACACAAATTATAAAATGTCTATTAAAATTAACTTCCTAGTGTGACTGCGGAATGAAATTATGTTGCAGAGTKCAGGTCGTTCAGTTGTTGGTATGACGACAAACAATCATTTGTTTTTGAAGAATAACGACTAGTGTTTATAAATAATTAGATTTCTCGCTCAAACGAAAATATTGTTATATTTATAAAAACATATTTATTTTTTCATTGGTTTTTCGCCGTAAATTTGCATATCGGAAAAAAAATAATAATTTCTAAATTAAGATTTTACTTTTCAGGCGGGTCGGCCTATTTGAAAACAAAAATAAATCTCGTTTGTGCGCATCGGCATCGCAATCACGTGCCGCCGCACGAAGATTGGGAGAAATAAGAGTTTCGTTGTATTATTATATGTTTCCGCATTATAGCTAGCATGCAYATAGTATAGGTGCGTATAGTGAGACTCACTCAAGTGAGAGTAGGTAGTCAGCGTGTGGCGCGTACGTGTAATAACAATGATCATAACGTGCGGCGACTAAGAGCGATTATTGACATTTGACAACAACATTAGCTGCAAGCGAACGTGTGCGGTGATATGTAACACGGCAATAATATAATATAATAATATACACAGCGATGGATTAATTATCGACGGCAGGCGGSAGCGGTCGGCCAACGACTCGCGGTCGGTGCTCGAGACAGGAAATAAATTATTGTTGACAGCCGATTACCGCCGCGTCGCGCATCCGGAAAATTTTACCAAAATCAAAGGCGTCGACCAGAACAAGACTATCGATATACACGGTCGCGATATCGCATCGAAGTTGCTCACACTCGCACACAATATCTACACACACACACACACACATAACAGATATATTATAACTCTCACCTGACGTTTCGCCTACTCCCCTCCATCTCACCCATCTTTCAACAGACCGTTTATATGAAACTGTTTGAAATCCACGGATACTTGCTTTCTCAATGATAGATAAAGTAGTTTGATTTATTATTAAAGATTCAATAAGTATCCGTTGATTTATGACCGTTTTAACGTTATCGCATACATATTATAGTACGTACCCGCCTGATAATCGTGTACTATACTAGTACTTAAATTCATTTAATTTAAAGAGTGCTTAATGTTTCATCTCATTAACTAATTCTAACACTTTTTAGTATCTACTTAAGTAGGTAATATAATATAATTTMTATACTGAAAAGGTGAAAGAAATTGTTTTATATAAATATACCTAGTAATCACCTATTATTTACCTGTTTTTTATTTTTTATTTTTTATGAGAAAAATTAAATTCTATTGTTCCGGATTTCTTAAAATTTAATCTGATCACCTGAACCTACTATAYAAAGATAGGTTTATGAAAATAACTAGCTATAGCTGAATGTGTTAAGCAAAGCAGCCAACAGGGCAATTTTAACAAAACATCAATAGCAATGAAAATTAAGATAATTTGTTTAATTTATAATAATTGCACTCCACAAAATGGTTTTATATTAAAATACATGTACTAGCTTGAAATAGCCAGAAAAACTCGGTTTCTCTGTTACAGAAATAAAATATGAATGAAATATAACACGAAATCATTAGAACATGCCTAACAGAAAAACTGGCACATTGAAATACCCTYTGCCCTGTTTAAAAATGGAGGGAAAAGGCACAGTTGGGCAACTCGCATGAATATTATTTGGTAAAACTCGRTAGAAAAAACAAATCGTATAAGAAAGTTCAACAGTTACGTAGTACTTGATATTTAWAYTTAAGAAAGGCCGATTATTGTACACTTAAAGATTCAACAAAAAATGAAAATAATTYGCAACATTYGAATAGATATATAGAGCGCAAAATGTCGTATAACGTTATCATTTTTATCAGTATTTAAATTTTAAATTTAAGCATTGCTCGGTTGAAATTATAAGGTYAGTTTCACTATACAGTTTTACAGCATTTAAAAAAGTCGATTATCCAGTTGTTTTATATTATATCTGTGAAACGCACAGACCTAACATATTGATCTCTAACAGCGGGGAAGCCGTGGAAATCGGAAGTAAATTGACGTAAAATATCGCTAAAACGCCAAGTTTCTTTCACCACTCGCGCGCACGCACACACACATGAGGGCTGTGGTTTCAACGACGACGACGACGACATCTTAGTATACGTCAATTAACATTTTAAATCTTTCACCAAAAAAACGAGTCGCAGCCGCWATCTTTCTCTTTTTCCGCAGACGAATTTCAGCGAAACGCCACTGCCAAGGCCATCGCGGCCGTATACGCTCCCACCCGCGGACTGCACTCTGGCCGTTGCGCAATAATTTTAATGCTTATATCTTATTAACACACAACCGACCTCTCCGCAAACGCATCATTTGATGTTTTTGCAGCGATACGGCTAACGATATCCGAACGATGACACGGATGATATAGTTAATTGTTGCGATAATCGAAATAGAATCCTAACGCGCAGACAGTTAATAATATTTTGTGCATACGTATATTCTCGCTAAAATACWTWATTATTACACACCGAGCCATACACAATATTCCTCTTTAAATCTCGACATCATCACACATGACGTGCGTGCTGCTGTCGCGTTTGCATTTATGAGAACGTTACTCATCGCGAATATTTCGTGACGTTGCAAATGTCGACGATGCAATTGTGTTTCTATACCGTGTGATCCGCAACGATATCGCAACAAAGAAAATTCGACAAAAATTCGTATAATAACACGGTTTGCCCTACATATTTGATTATACTTAAATGYGCACGGATGGGCACCTATATAATAGATGACACTCGCGAGAGAAGGGAGGAAGTGCTGTAGACTGTACCTAGTCCACAACATTATGCTGCATACAATATATTATTATGTATTGATTGTCATCACAACGGTCGTGGGTACTTTTTTTTATTATTGCGACTTACGACTGCAACTCGACGGAACGACTGGTATATGTATGGTATAGCTACTCCTGTAAACATATTATGTGATTTTCAAATCATTTTTCCAATATTATTTGATGATAAACAATAATAGATAAAATAATATCGTTCGATTTGAATTGTTTCAACTGCTTCTAGTGAATTAAAATGAAAATGAATACCCAGAATACCTATAGGTAGTAGTTTTAAGTATAAACAAGTACGTTTATAGATCACCTTTATCTCAGTTGCGTCTKTTCGGTTAATAGGTTACACAGCTATGATTGTTTATCGTTCGTAGTTACTAGCTATACAATAATAGTAGGTACATAGCTTCGATGTTTTGTATTAAAATTATATTAAAACGGTTTAAATCAAAATAAATGCATATAATAGCAAGTATTAAAAAACTATCAAAATAGTAGAAGGTATTTATTATATTATAATATAGTATCAATAATACTATAGTCAATATTAAAGAATAGATTTTCGAATAATAAAGATTATATCAAATTATTTATGGAATTATATATGGGTATTAAATTGCGATGTATTAAAATACTACTATCACAAAGCGTTTATGACTATAATGTTTTATTTCGATTTTCGAATTCGCCACTATAGATTTCTTGATCTACTATKGTAAATTCTAAAATCCGACAAATGCCCAGATTAAAAACACATATTTTTCCGATTTCCTTTGGAGTATTTATTTTGCGAATGCAATTTCCCGCGTATTCACCGCCATATATATATATATATACCTACCTACAAAGTGGTGACAAGTAGTTATCACTTACCCAATAGCGTGCTGCAAACGACGGCTGGCGAACTTGTTGTCGGTTTTCCGGGTTTACGGTGGTTTTGTTATCGGCCGGCGGCGATATCTGCAATGTGGTCCTGATGACGGACGTCGCGGACGGTTTCGTCGTTATGGCCGACGCGCCGGTGACGGCCGCGCAAACAACGGCCGTGGCCAGCGCGATGATGACCACCACCGTCCGGSCTGTCACTATCGTCCGCGTCGTCCTGTTCGTCATCGACGGCCGACGGTGGCACAGTCGTGCGGCTGCGAGGGCCATCGTGGGTCGCGGACAGGGGATCACGAGTGCTCGACCTCTGCCTCGGTCGGTGCAGCCTAGAGAAGAACCGACGCCGAGCTGCGACAAGATCGGAACAAAGTCGACTCGGCTGTATGGAGACCGCCAGTGGCCAGTAACTGAGAAAGTACAACGACTAATATGCCGCGCGTCTTATTATTGGGCGGTGAAAAATCGAATGGCGACGTCGCCGGGCATCGCGCAGTGTTGTATGTCGTGATGGTCGTTTGTCGACGTCTTCGGTGCTGCTTGATGCGGCCGGTTACTCCGGGTTACGGTCGTGTACTACCGAATGTCGGCGCTGTCGAGACGAAGAAAGCGACCACGGCGGCGATCGAGATTCCTCCTCCGCGACGGCGGCGGCAGCTGGACGGCGAGAGAGACCGCGGCGGTGGTTATATCGCGTATCTATCCAATATTATATATACGAGAGAAATGTGTAATAATATAGTGTTATTATCATCATCGTGCGACGGATATGCGCGCGAAAACGGATATTATATTATTATTATGTTATTATATTTTATGATATTGTGACCACTGCCGTCGAAATTCCCACCACTTCATTATCGCCATCGTCGGCGGCGGCGGTCGTCGCGATCTTTCTCTCACTTGCGTTTTTTTCACCGGAAATTTCTCTGTTCGCTAATATCGCGTTAATGACTATATACTGCATGCAGCTGCACCATGTGGTTATATATTGTACAGGATGATTCAATAAAAAAAAATGTGTTCGTCCGATTTCGAGAGAACTCGTGTTTATTTCAAAATACGAAGAAACTCTGAGTATATTATGAAGTAAAAAATAATTAAATTTAAATAATTAATTGTTTATACATAATGTGTACAATATTAATTAACCAGCCTACTGGCCGCCCGACATACATAATATCATATGAATSATTGATATTCAAAACATTGTTTATTTTTATCTGCACATCTTATTGTGCAGGCACTGTACTGACGTCAATTCGCCAATCATTACAAACGCTCACAAGACACGCCGTCAACGATGATATTATAAGATTGATCATCTTATCTCAACAGTGTTACCTGAAATTTGTGATTGCTGAGCCATGAAAATTCGCAATCGTATAAACACTTTTGAATCGTCTTGTATTGATGTTTGTCATCCCAAAGACAATGTGGTAATTATATTAGTGGAACGGTTTTCAAGCTTTTTTTTTTGTGAATAAAGGGATTATAAGTTTACTAAAATCGTTTTTCATACCTACAATGATTTTATACCATTGAAATCAAATTTGAAATCTACATTGCAATGGCTTCTTTAGACATCTAATATAAAGCAGAGCGTTACCCACTACATTGCTTTTTTTTTCATTATATTACTTTATTTGTAATTTAAAATGTTGAAATTGTAACAAATTATGTGCTTTATATCTTTGGTACGTATTAGTGTATAAAAGTAGCCAGTAGGTACGTTGTATTATACAACTTAACGTATTAGGTATAATAAATTGGTGCTTATGCCTCATTAATTTTGKTACAAAATTATATTATATAGGTACCTAATGATAGCCACTCCATATAATTAATGGCTGATGAGAGTGAAATCATCATAATCTTTGTTACTTATATAATATATATATAGAATATTGTATATTATTTTTATTTATTATCTACATAAACTATTCTCTCGGCACGGACGACACCCATCTGAACGATTTTGACAATTTGCACTCGCCCTGCGTATGTCTTTGGTGTATGACCACAACTTGTGGTCATACACGTTGACTATGAATCATAGAACTTCGTGTAATATTCTGTACTCTTAATATAGTTGTAAGCAATTTAGTAAACATATTATTTAGAGTATTTATAATAAGCATACAAATCGTGGCATCGTGCAATTGTCTAATATTTCAAGTACTCGTTCAATATGGTATCTACCACACGTTTGATGGTTTAGTATGCTATCACCTATCTACCGTAAATATTTTATCTACCGTCATTTTATGTTGGTGAAGTATATATCAACACATATAAATTATCTCACCTTTATAATGCAGAATTTTTTCTTTGTCATTTTTTTACACTGTGTAGTTATGTATACGTATTTGAGTATTTCTGATCACTCCGAGAAATGATTCGAACAGGTCTTCGGTTGGTTTTTGTATCGAGCGCCTTTTTTTTGTACATCGATTATAAATTGTTTTCAAAATATTACACTCCGAATMACGTTTTCGACTATTTTTATAACTTTTTTTAACTCGCCACCACAAATTGTTTGGCTTTTAATTTTTGTACATGTTTGGTCGATTGGTAGGTAATAAACCGCGTATGTTTAAAAAATTTTCGCATATCTCTTCATTTTGAATTATGTGTCGATATAAATAACTCATAGTCGACAAACTTATAACAATAATTATTAAATAATAATAAATAAATCACGGTAAAACCACGTATATAATCGATACGACTCACAAACACACACTAAACAGGTATAATATAAAAGTATACCTAACTAACCTACCTAACTTACTAAGGTATAAATATTATATAATTTGGGGTTTCAATAAAAGCTTAATCTTAAATCTTGATTGCAAAATTATAAAGTATTTATAATAATATACAATATACGGACATACAGTAGATATCATATAAGCTATCATAAAATGACGGTAGATAAAATATTTACGGTAGATAGCATATTGGACGAGTACCATATTTCATCATAAGTAAATCAACATCAAACCAATTTCTTCTTCTTTCATTAATCGAATATATGACAAGTCGAATTATTAAGGTAGGTAAATTTATCATAAAATTAATTGACAATGTATAAAAAAAAACTTACTTATGTTCATATAAATATATATCAGAGAGCAAATTATTGCATGTAAAAGATAAATATGTGTATATTATATTGTGTATATTTAGTATTTACTAATTTTACATTGCTACAATTGACGACTAAGCTCCTGGTTTGTAACACACGAAAAAAAAATAATACAAAATTGAATTACCTGCTCAAATTTAAAAAAATTATCAGCTAAACAACAGACTAAAATCAACATACAGATAATTTAAACACAAACCCTTTAACAAAACTTTTATATTTTATTTAAATTACTATAAAACCTCAATCATTAATTACTGAACTTATTAAACGAAACTTAACTACCGAGGGCACAGTTCCTGAATTTTATATATTTAGTGTTTAAACCATATAGGTAGTTGCATATTGCATAATGTTATCAATATTCAATAAACCCAATCTAGTTTTATTTATTTTTTGCAGTTAATATTTTTCACATAATTAGAAATTATATCATAACAACTCAACATTTAATCCCTGTCACTAATTATTTTCATAATTATTATTTTTAAGTTGTAATTGATTAAACTTTATTTTTAAGCTTTCTAAAGTTTTAAGAGTTAACCAATAACAAGGGGATAAAATACCGGCATAATATGTGTGCACAAATAATCTTTCAATAACTGTAACAAGTTTTTATGTAGTTAGGAATATATAAAATATATTATATTATATTATATACATCTATATGGTGCTAATTTAACCGCGTGACTTATGACTCAATGTTACGACACTATAATGTAGACTGTAAAGAATAGAGATAGTATTTTTTAAATAGTATAATATCTATTTAGCGATCAAAGTGATCGGAGTCTTCACCCCGGCCATCATTCGATTATCCATAGATATTTTATAGTTATTTTTATTGAACGGCAGTTGTTAATTATAAACTTGACCTATATAAATAATTTTAAATATAATGATTATCCATTCGGAATGACAAAAATCAAAGTAGTATAAGAAGTTGGAAATTTCAAATTACGTTGTCTTTAATTAATATAATAAATATAGTGTTATAAATACAATATTGTTTGATGTTATCTTTAATTTATAATTTTCGAAGTAGATGGCTTTGGGTTACTCTAGTTTTTCCGCTGTATCATATTTCAACGAGTACCATTCACAGAAACAGATATTTTTAGCAAAAATAACTAATAAATTATAATATATACTCTTGTAATTTAAAAACTTGTGTTTTTCATCCAAACAGAGCGATGGTGACGTTTTGTTGTAATAGTTAAACATACCTATTATAGATTTAAACTTTCTAGGTAATAATGTTCTAAAAAATATTGTACTTAATCTATAATGCAATTTTTCACGATTTCTATTTCAAAATATTCAGTTTTAACCTAAAACACATAGAGACCGAATACAATAAAGTTTATTATACTACATTGCTCTAATTATGATTTATAAGAATATTAAAACAAAACACGCAAAAAATCCAGACATGATAAAGCATACGCTACAATAGTTACAAATTAATCACAATGGCTGGACGACGTAAATATTATTATTTTTGTTAAATCAGTTTTCTACCACAAAAAATTAATAATATTAAAGCATATTTAACGAAGTAATATAATTTAATACATTTTTTATTAAAATGTAACAAAGCGTCATTAAGTTTGATTTATTCTTAAATATCTAGGTATTAAGAGTTTTGTTTGCATATCATATTTATTTTTTTCATATTTGATCAATTTTAAGTTCTAAATGGCTTCTATAAGTTCTGGACTAATTAGTCATTAAGCAACGAAAAATAAAATAAAAAATTTAAATAAAAATAACTATAAGCAATAAGCCAATAAGTATGTCTTTACGCAATGAAAAGCTTAATTATTATTATTGCGTTTAGAAAATGTTTCAGAACGTTAAACGGTAGGCATGCAATAATATGTATTTATTAATTAGACGTTTTAAAAGTTAAACCTAAAAAATATTATTATGAGAAAGATGTTTAAACGAGTGTATTGTATTTATATACTAAGAGTTAACCTGTATTACACGTCAAGTACTTATATATATTGAAATTAAAACAGCTAATACAAGTTTAATTAAAAGAAATCTGAAAACAACAAATTAATAAAATCGCCCCAATTCAATGGTATTCTTTCATTACAAACTATGTTGAATAATATTCAAAACAAGTATAAGTACACAATCTTTATTTATTTATATATATATATAATATGATTAATTAATGTTTAAAACACGTTCAATGCCATTGTCGACGGGTAGTCGACATCGGCCACATTGCCCGGGTCGCCTTTGTCGACTAGTGACTACCCGTCGACAAATATAGTGTTCAGTTTGATGGTTTATAATTTTTACTGGCTACGGGATAACGGTCTGAAATTTATTGTAGGCGATCAGGTTCCTTCTTACGAATCTAACGATACCATTGGTTTTTAATTTTGTTTATTTTTAGTTTGGATATTTATTTTTCCCCGA